AATATAAACTAAAAACGAAAAGAGCGAAAAGCATTGTGAAAAACGAAACCTTTCTTATCTTAACCGTGGATGTCTTCCACTTTCCCTAAGAAGAGCGAAGTCATCACTCCGCGTGGTGTTCTATTTCCTGGAGCCTTCCTTGAGTTCCTTTCGTAGCGATCAAGTCCTGTATTTAGCGAACCAGTCTGGATAAAATGGACTCGAGGTATTTCTTTTCCAGTATTCAGTGCACAGGAATGGAGAAGAAGGTTAGGGATTTCCAGTCTCCCAAGATGGGTCTGCTTTCCCATCATCAGTTCCAAGACAGAACATCCCAGTTTGTCTTTCTCGATATTCTTCACCAAGAAACTGGAGCAATCGGCGTCGATCATTCCCTCTGCTTTTCCACCAAAAGTCATGTGCAGATCATTTCTTGCTGCCGTGAATGGCTGCTCTTGTCCACCCTTCCAAGCAAGAAGCGTGACCCGAAATACCATGTCTTCAATCCCCTTGAGATGGTTTCATTCACTCTCCCCCCACCTCTGATTGCTGGGAAAATCATCGCCTCTGGTTTGGGTTTTGATGATAAGCACCGTTATCATGTCGTGCTCTTTCACCTAGCTGCTGGGGCTGCTGGGGCTGCTGGATTCCTGGAACTGGAAATCTTCACTTCCAAAGCTGGGGAATGGAGAAGATATGATAACCCCATCAATGTTTCTCCGCTTTTTCCTGCGCTGGAAGATCGGAAGGCTCCAACAGTGACTAACAAAGTCCTTACATGGTTGAATCAGAGACTTGGAATCAAGAGACATGGCCGTTGCTTGAAGGAAGTGGTAGGTCCTGTGTTCTCAAACGGAGCAATCTACTCGGTAATAAATGGGCAGATGCTGGCGTATAGGCTTGAAGATGGTGGCTGTGAACTGATTAAACTTCCAAATTCAGATTCAATCAGGACTTACCAGCATAGCTTGTGGGAATCAGGAGGGCGATTGCAGTACTCCTACTGTGATGACATGGGTATTCACACTTGGGATCTTCTCAACAAGGAAGATCATGATCTGATCTTGAACTACAACATCTATGACCAGCAAAGATTCAGGTGGAGATTAGCATACAGCATTGATCAGGAAAAATTGGGATTAGGAAAGTGGCAGCCTTACCTTACATGTCCTGTTGCCTTCATTGATGATCTCCAGACCATGTATTTGCAGCTTCCTGGGGCGGTCATTTCATACAACACCAGAACTCAAGTTATGAAGCGAGTCTGCACCATTAAATCTGGCGGAAGAAACTCAATCTTCCCTTTCTCCTATGCTGGACTCGGCAATCAGAAGGTTGCATCGAGGCCAAGGGAAGTAGTACCTGTTAATTTGCCAATAGCACTAGTAGAACAGACTTTCTGTTTTGAGTAAATTCCAATAGAATAGCATTTCTTCCCATTTCCTGCAGCTTTTGATATTTGTAGTCCAGAAAATACAATAGTATCCGGGTTTTGATGTTCTTTCACTGGCATAGCTTTTTCCTATTCTACCGTTTTATAATCATCATTCTCTCATAAAAGTGCACTGCATTATAACGAAGAGACAGAATTAGAAAGAAAAAATCACAATAAAAGAGGAGAATATTTATTGTATAACACATTGAAACTGAACAATATTTGGCTACATCTGTCGCTACCATATCCATATAAACAATTAAGGCACAAATATCACAACAATCTGAAGTAAATAACAAAAGATGCACAAGCTACCAACTTTTTTAATACTTCCAAGCAAATTTTTGCGAGTCATCAATCCAATAGTAAAGCTGTTTTGTTCTTGGCCATTTAATCCACCTTGGCCACATTGTCCATATCTGTTTCCTTTGTATAGGAACAGGCAACAAGCGAGTTTCTACTGGGACTGTTACCACATCACACCACATTCCAATGTCTTAAACCAGCTGGCTAAGAAGATACCCACAGCAATCCACAGCCGTCAGGCCAAAGCTGGTAGCCCTCGATGCAGCTATGAATGATATTGCCTGCCCACTCTGACCTTCAATGATGTTATTGGTCCCAATTCAACCAGTTTTGCAGTATATTGCAAGGTCCTCACTGTTGTTCTTGAATAGGTGGTAGCCACCAATGCCATTCTCAAGAAGGAAACCAGCCTGCTGAAAAACATTCTCTGGTGAATCAGAAGAAGCAAGGGTGCAGGTCCCTCCTTGAACCTTGGCAAGAAAGAAAGCAGGTAAAACTCCATACTCAAAAAGGTATAGGTCACCACCAGCTAAGAAGCAGTCAATGCAGGAACAAATGACACCAGCAAGCCTTGGTTTATCACCACATTCTGGACATGGATTGCCTGAAGGATGAGAAGGAGATGAGCTAAAAATAAGATGATCTAAGATAGTTCCAGTGCCTATTTCCCCTCCAGCTCCCCTAGTGAAGTGGATCACCTTTCCTTCACCAACATATATGCCTGGCATGATGGCTAGCAAGTTAGGAAACTATGGCCGCAGGAGAAAGTCAAGCTAATTAGTTGCTTAATGTGAGGCACTAAACATCAAACTACAAGTAGTGAACACTAATATTGCCTTTGAATTTATCCAAAGAAATCTAAGAAATAAGTGCTCCTCCCAAATAAATAGATTCATCATATCATTGACCATTAGACAACCACAGACAAACCAAGAAATAGAATAGCAGATCATTAAAAATCTAATGGTATGCTAGTTTCCAGAATCAATATTTGCTAACACCTAGACAACAGACCACATAAATTTCAATTTCACAACCTAAACAATATTAAAATGCAGCAAATAATGAAAAAAAAGAAAAGAAAATATTAAGATGCTATTTCTAGTTAAGCATATCTGCATACCCATCCCCTATGCAAGTATGCAGAAAAAGAACCGAATTCTAAAAAGCCATTTACCATCATGGTTTCACTCACCCTGCCTGTTCTAGGACATAATCCCTTTTTAGCATTCATACGCCATTGTTTGCATTGCCATTAAAATCCTACTCTCTGCTCAATCGCTAGGGACTAGGGACCCATATAAAGATTTCAACTTTATGGTTTTTTAAAGACTTAAACGATCCCATCTCCATCTCGAGCTTGACGCCTTAGCTCTCGAATATAATGCCATCTATCTAGTATAAGAGAAGAGGTGTCTCCTGATTTCCTTTGAAAAACCAACAATTAGGTATCCAAAAACCACATAATTTAGCAAAATGAAGCCCGATTAATGACACTGGCAGCTTAAATTGAGAAGCTAAGCATCCTAGTGGCTGATAATGAAAAAAATCAACCTACGGAATGCAGCATTTGCAACATACCGGAAGGGGAGAAAGAGGGAGAATTAACCATGATGGGCATAGATGTAGGCCCGCCTCCATGAGTAGATGTGATCTCCAGGCTTGAGTTGCTCTCTGGAAATCTTGTTCGATATAACTCCCATCTCTCAGCCGTCTTTCTTTCTTCTCTCTTCCCTTGAAGAATGGAGAGGAAGAAAGGAGGGATGGAACGGAAGTTTTGATCTTTCAATACAACTGCACAGAGGTTACTGGTTTGGGACGAAACTGACAGAAAATAAAGACTAACAACACAACTTAAAAGAATTGAAAAGTTTAAGGGTATAGAATGAATAATGATATAGGACCTTTTTAATTTAAGAAAAGTAAATATTGAGAGTGAGATTTTTAGAGTTAAAATGTCCAATTTCAAGCAATGAGATTTTTTTTTTTTTTTGGTAAAACACGTTAGATGAGATTTAGTGAGACGTATTTTAAAGTTGGAGTTCTGATTATTTTTAATACCAGCAAGGTCTTTTTTTTTTTTTTGCAATTTCTTTTAATTTTTAATTATCAGAAAAATGTTGTCTATAACTTTAAGTTATTGGGTGACAATATCTAATATTAATAAGAATAATGATAGAAGAGATGAATTTTAAGAAATTAAAATTTAAGATTAATGATATGATATGAGAGTAAATTTAATATTATTTAATGATTGATTTTTTTTATCTTTTTGAATCTATAATATTATATACCATTACTAATTTAATGATATAATTCATACGATATCATTATTTTCAAATTTTAATCCTAAATTTACATTCTTTGTGGAACTACTCTATTAACAAGAGTTTTTCAAATGCATTTAGTTTTAATTTCCAAAAAAAAAAAACTTTAAATAATATTATTATTTTTTTAATTAAAACTCAATTTAAAATTAAAAATCTATTTTATTAAACATTGATACTTATATTTGAAAACTAATTATATGTTTTAATATAATATAATTGATGTCTAAATATCAACATTTTAATCATGTAAATTTTTAAATTTTAAATTAGATTTTTCGATTCCAAATGCAATAATTATCATTTAATAAGATAAATTTTAAATTTTGAATTAAATTTAATTAAATGAAATGACTTTATTTAAACTTGAAACTTTAATTTTTTTAAAAATTGGGATTGATATGAATTACCCTCATCAATTTACATAAAAAAAAATTTAATTTTAATTTTAACAACTAATCAATTAAATTAAACTTTTTTAATATGTGTATTTAGAGTATAAATTAAAAGTATAATTAATATATTTTTATATTATTAATTGATATTATAAAAATAAAAATGAACATTAATGTCATCATCAATACCATGTAAATCATTTTAATTAAACAATTAAATAAACAAAAAATTAACTTTTATTTCTTAATAAAAATTAATATTAAAAAAATACTCTTTAGAAAGATTAAAAAAATAATCTTAACATTTAAACTTTACCCTATGAACATGAATAAAGATAGAAAAAATCTGTAAATTCAATCTAAAATTAATATTATTAACTTTTTTATTTTTCACATAAATTAATAATTAGAATCGAGTTATGTTAGAAGATTTTTCTATTCACATGTAATAATAAATGTATTTTTTTATAACTAATTTACATAAAAAAATAATAAGAATTAATTTAAATTTAATTAATTAATTAACAGTATTTACATAATAATAATATTAAAATAAAAATTAATTTTTATTATTTTTTATATAAATAATTTTTATGGGTCTATTTCATTAATAGTA